GATGAGCATGTGCGAAGATCTCTCCCTCTCCCCGGAAGATGCGGTAATGCTTCCACTCTCCTTCTACCTCCGATCTCCGAGCATGGGACACTACACTCGCGACGCATACATAGAGGGCTGGAGGACGTTGGATGGAGCGGATACGGTTGCCAAGCAAAAGCAAGTGCTGCCCAAGCTGAGGGAGGAGTTGGAAAGGGATGCTGAAGTCAGAGGCGCGTTGGCGAGCGAGGGCAAGGGCGGACTGTTTGCGAGAGTGTACGATTGGGTGTATGCGTACGCTAGAGATGAGGGTCAAAAGAGCTTGAGTGAGTCAGGCAGACTGCGGATCGTAACGTGCGGTGTGGCTGGTCGAGTCCCATCAGGCTTGTCGCACGAAGGACAATGCGACCTGACACGCTTCCTGCGCATCACATTTACAGAGCTAGACACCGCCGTCGCGTTCTGGAGACTGCTCTTGCCAATCTCGCCATCGTACGCACGAGAGGGTTCATCTGGTCGCTTCACTTCCAGGCAGTTGGATTTGTGGGAAAAGTACTTGACCAACGAGACGGGGGGTCGCGCCATCAGCAAGGATACTTGGACACTCGTGAGTCGAGATGATGGATTCGGCGCAGCTGGCGGCGGTCGTATATGGGGGACCGGCGAACACGGCGAGCTGCTCGTCACTTCCACCGGCAGAAGCTGACGTAATCACTCTTAATCGCACCACTTTTAGTTCCTCGATTTTACCAAGGAAATCGATGCAGATTTTAAAGAACACGATTTTGACGGTGAGCTGCGAGAATGCTCTCTCTCTCTCTCTCTCTCCACGCCCACAGCCAGCGCAAGTCGAAGGAGAGCTGAATCTCCCCATCTGCTCTTCTCCTCTCAGCGGCATGGCCCTCGGTCATCGACGACTTTGTGACTTGGGCGCTCGATCAGCCAAAGAGCGACGCCATGGACACGAGCTGAAACAATCGAACTCTACAGCAATAGCAGAATGCTTCCCTCAGCACACGAGTCACAGGCAAAATGTCATGAATTTTTTGCACATCGAACGAGCGGCGCGAGCCTCGAACAGCTGGTGCTGCGCGCAGCTGTCAGCGTCGAACTTGTCCTGCACAGCCACTTTGCGCGAGTGATGGATGCGGCAAACAGGCACTTCAGAAAGGATCAAGGTGCAATGTCATTATAGTGAGGCAGTGGAGGGAACTCAGAGTATTGCACGAAAATATACAGTGAAGTCGCTGACTAGGCACGGAGAAAATGTACGGCTATGGTCTCATATTCGTGTACGGAGAGGTCACATTTCGACCGAACTCGAGGTAGTCACTAGCAGGCGATGCAGTGGAGAGGATCAGCAAAGACGTCACTCCTTTGATCCACTTCGACGGCGGCGCACTCACGGATCGTCATAGAGCGAGGAAGAAGCTCCAAGCTTGGGAATATCGAGAGCCCACGTGGTGCTCATGCCCATGACCGCGTGAAAGATGAGGTGGCAATGCAACAACCACACACCCAAGTCCATGTGCTGAATCTTTGTCCTGAGCACCGTCCAGCCTCCTGAAGAGTGTGCTGGCAGCACCACTTTTGGATCGGCAATTGTCTCGCCTGGACCTGGCCAGACGGTGGAAGTGTCGCGCGGAATGGGGTCAGACCATTGCCCGTTCGAGCGCGCTTGTGCAAGGGCCTCTACGCTAAAGTTTCCAGGTCCAGAGGCGAGCGTCCAGTGCTTGTCTGCACCAGACAGGCCAGATGTAATGCTCAGCAAAGGAGACCGAGGCGCGGCAACAACCGCTCGGACGCTCGACTCGACTCGACTCGACTCGACTCGACTCGACTCACCTCCGTGTTTGTGCCAAGTGTGGATTTCGGTCAGACCGCTGGCCATACTTCCGTTGTTGATGATGACAATGTCGATCACCTCGCCCGGCTTGGCCACCCATACTTGTGCGAGAGGATCAAAGCCTTTGGGGTGTTTATTGTCCGAAGTGTTAAAGGCGCGATTCCACGAAGGCGCTTCCCTCAACCGCTTGTAGAGCTGAATGAGGTACGGCACCTTGGTCGCCATACGCCCAATCGGCTGATCCGCACCCTCGACGTACCATACGTCGTTTTGGGTCCAGCGAGAGTAGTTGCCCATCGATCCCAAGATGTTGATCTGCTGAGCATTCAAAATCACTCTTCTAGAGACTTCGGAATCGCTAGGCATGCGATCTTGATGGCTGCTGGGCTCCTTGAGCGGCGTCAGAGATCCGGAGATCCAGCCAAACGTCGAGTTGGGCAGCATCCTCTCTGTACTGTTGATCGGAGCCGGGGTAGGTTGGGGCTGCGCAAGCACCTTGTCGACGTCGCTGCAATCATCCGAAGCGGAATTCGAAGATTGGCATCTGTACGTGAGCTTCGCGTTCGAGCCGCGCCTCTGCGCACGGTATCACTCACCAAGATGGATAGGCTAGCAGGGCCCAGCCAAAGGTGCCCGGGTTGCGCCACTGACTCTCGAGGCGAATCCAGTAGCAGCCTCCAGAGCCGTCTTGCTCTACGGCTTCTTTGGTCTTGCCGTCTACTAGTGTCGAGTAACGCTGCCCAGGTCCGATCTCCATGTCGGGCACCTCGAGATATTTGGTGTAAGTGCCGTCGGCTTCTATGATGCGCTGCTTGTGGTTGGCGATGGCGACTTTCTGCATGCAATCAGGAGAAGCACGTGGTGAGCAAAGAAGGGGCTTTGTCGACATACAAACAGACTGACATCAGCGACTTACGGTGTACATGAGGGATTGCGCGCCAATCCAGCGAAGCCTTATCGTCTGGCCATGACCGAGATGGACGATCTCTGGTCTTTTGCCAGCGTTCCGAGGCGCGTCTTTGCAGTCGAGCTGATACGTCGAAGCTAGGGTTTGATTGCAGGGCGCGCTGCTCAGTGCTTTTCCGTTGAGCAAGAGCGCCTTTGCGCTTCCTGCCCACTTGAATGGCTGGCCAAGCAGACCCTGAAGCAGCTCTTCTTGTGGCTGGTGGTAGTAATCTGCCAGGATCAAGGGCTTGTCCAAGTCGTATTTGTATGGAGGTTCTTCTCCATCTTCCACGATGAAAGCACCGTGAGCTGTGCTTTGCTGCAAATCGACGTGGGGATGGTAGTAGTAGGTGCCCTTGTCTCGGAGCTTCATGCCGTACTCGAACCACGTGTTAGGCGGGATGGGCCATTGCGTGACCATCGGCACGCCGTCCGAGATGGGTGTCATGGATTGCGTGAGACCGTGCCAGTGCTGCAGGCGAGCAAGGAGCAAATGGTAAGTGAGCGGCGCTTGTGTGCGAATGTCGCAATGCAGACGCATCCTCACCATTGTTGTGTTCCAAGTGGACATTCTGTTGGTGACTCTGATCACAAGGACTATTGAGAGCAAGGAAAAAGTGAGGCGCGCGGTCAGGTCATCCCATCTCTTGCGCTCGTCGATCGGAAGGGTGCCTATGGCTTACAATCTCCTTTCATGAACCTGCAGCATGGGGCGGATGCAGATGAGCTGGGAGGTCTACACATCGATTGAAAAGTGCTCGCGCGATGGCTCACCGAAGTACGGGACCAGGTGATGAGCCATTGACAACGGGTTCGCCAGGCACCGGCTGACCGTCAGCCCACAGCGTGGTTTGCGAAACGTCCAAAAAGACGTGTTTCACGTTGGAGGCATCCTCTGGAGGTATCGTCAATTCGGCCCTCAAATTCACATCTTGCTTGACCGTAGCCGCTCGAGATGGCGTCGAGGAGAGGCAGAGAAGCACTGCCAAAAGGCACGATGCGTGCAGAAGACGCCGCGTGGACAGCATGGTGGGAGGAGCAGATACTGACTGGCTCGCTGACCGCTGACCGCTGACCGCTGACCGCTGACCGCTGACCGCTGACCACTGACCTCGGATCTTGACTGAACGGCACACGAAAGCGGTCGAATTTGGTGAGCAGGGCGACAGAAAGAACAGCAGACAAGGACGATGGCGGGGGTTTCTGTAAGCACGCCTGACGGTGGGGAGCAGCAAAGGCGCTCCTTATAAACGAGCCATCTAGAGACTGCGGTAGGCGGACCTTGGCTCGTGCGCAGACACTCCATCCCATGCAGTGCCAGTGCAGGTCCCCCACCCACCTCATCTGACGGAGCAAAAAGCGCGCTGTGAAAAGAATCACAATGACGATGCCTGTCTGCTGCCGCCTGGCTGACCAAACCAAAATTCGTCGAGGGCTAAAATCGCTCACCTTGCGTAGCTTTCGATGTTTGGACAAGCGGCGAGAAAGTGTCAATCAAGACTGCGACTGCGTCGATGGCGTCTCGGGAGAGCCGATGATCAATCGCAATCTTCACAATTGCCGTCCGTATGCTGCACTGCACCGCACCGCCTTGATCGGCCCTTGACAGCGACTTGCCCCGTCCGTACTTCTCTATGGACATTCGTATGAGATCAGGAGTGCATACTGTGACTGTGACTGTGACTGTGACTGTGACTGTACTCTGACTGTGCACATGCAAAACACTCATCCGGCTGCACATAACCGCAGCGTTGGATGACTCGAGGTAGACAAACGCCGAAAAGTGTGCCCTCATGCGTGTAACATGTCCTCGCTGCCCTGTAAAGCTTGAAGGCAGCACTCCGCGGCCGGCACATGCTAAAGCGCATGATCAAAAGGCCGAGTGGATCGCTTTCGCTTTCGCTTTCATTCATGCGGCGTTCCTGCGGCTTGGCTTGTCAAAGCAAGCGTAGCAGTCGCAGTACACGGCGGATGCAGCAGTCACAAGGGTGGCAGGCAGGCAGCAGGTGCCTTGAAAGTTGGCCCAATTAAGGCTGTCTGTCTGGCTGTCCGTCTGGCTGGCTGGCTGGCACCACTCGCGTGACTGTGACTGAGCGCCTTGCAAGTCATCAATAAGCACGTCGCAGTGGTGAGGTGAGTGCGGTCGGTACATGAAGCTTCATATATGCAAACGCCAGTCTTCTCATGACTGCGCTAGCTTTAGCCCCGATGCTTTGTCCATGTATCATGCAGGTGCAGTCAGTAAATGTTTCAAAGGCATGATCCGACAGTCACAGTCACAGTCGTGATCGAGTGTGAGTGTGAGTGAGCGTGGTGAGTAGCAAGTCGCCGAGGAAGCCCCCCCGTCCCCCTCGACTCTGATGTGACTTGCGCCTCCTTTGCACTCGTGACTGATGCGGGACGCGCCGGGACGGATGCATGAGACAATCTGAATGCAAAAAGGGAACCTGCGCGCGACTCTTTCTGGATGCCAACCGTTGCTTAGGCATCTCTGCAGTTTCAGGGGAAACACCGACCGACGTTCATGAGGCGTGTAAGCAAATCGTGAATATGATCGAGCGACAGCAGTCGTGATGAGTGACGACTGCTGCTGCACGGACTTCGCTGAGCGTAAATCACTCATTCGGACTCGGAACGGAGCTTTGCGTTCAAGAGCGTCATCAGAAGAGACGATCATTTATTTGGCTCGGTTAGAGATGAGCGCAGATGCAGCATAAGCGCTGCGCTCGTGACGTGAGTGTACGGCCCAGCAACAGTCAAGAGTCGGAGCTTAAGTTGCAATGGGTGATGAGGTGGCATCGCGGCAGCATGTGCAGGCAGCAGCACGTATCCCAATATTGAATGAAAGTATCACTCTTGACTCAAACTCGTCTTAAGCGCCATGCGCCGCCTCAGCTTGGCTTGCCTTATGGCCTTGTTAATTGGATCCGGCGTCGAATGAAACCGCGGTACGTAGGGATAATGTGTGGCATCAGCAATCGACAGAGGCTCCTAGGCCGCTGTCTGTGTTGTGCTGTACAGTACATCAGCTGCACCCTCACGCGCGGCCCGCCGAACGCGCCATCAGTCACGAATCTCATATCATATGCAGAGAACTCGCGATCGCGATCTGGGCTTTGCTGCTGCTGCTGCTGCTGCTGCTGCTGGTCGAGGGAGAGTGAGTGGAGTGAGGCATGGGCCACGCCATTGCTGGCGCAAGCAGCGGCGCGTGTGGCGCTTGTATGTCTCATCAAAGTCGCTGACACGCGTATAGTCGCTCGATCGCCCGCGTGGCCCGGCCGGGAACCGACAGGCGCACGCGCCCGCGTACCCAGAGCCGCGGCGCCTCACCGCCAAAATTTGCGCTTAATTGCGATCCGCGCGCGCGCGCGCGCGCGCTGGCGGGTGTTTTGGCTCCTCGCGATCCTGCCGCTGCTGCTGAACGCTCTCGCAGCAGTTTTGTGTGTGAGTCGCCGCGTGCACCCCTAATTGCATGGCCGCGGCGACCCGAGTTGACCTCTGCGCGCGCGCTGGCATGGCGTCCATTGTGATAATTGCTCCCAGATGCACGTCGGGCGCGGCACTATGTATCCTGGACGCACACCGATGCTCCGCCCTCCTTCCCTACCACGACAGTCTCTCGACCAGTTCTCGTCTCATCGCGAGGAAAAAACCGCTCCCCTACCTAAACTAACTCGCCAAACGCAGTCTGCGCCGCCTGACGAGCATCAGCAGCAGCCAGCACCTCCCCCCCCGCGTACGTTCGTTCCCCTGTCCCTTTCGCCTCCCCTTCCGCTCAATTCACTTTGCCCAGCACGGTACCGTACCGGTATATCGTACACGTACGCTCTCTCGCTACCGGCACACGCACCAAGCTGCCCTACAGCAGCACCCTTACTCGCCAAATCTGCTTGCTGCCCCTGCCCGAACACTCATACATCCGCCGCTGCCTCACGGTGCAGTTGTGAGCACAGCACAGCACCGCACCGCACCGCACCGCACCGCATCGCATCGCACCGTCCCGTGCCCTTCGCATCGCACCTTTGGCAGCCCGCCTCGCAACGCCCTTTGCTTGCTCATCTAACGCGACAGCTATAGGCGCATCTTCTGCTTGTTAGGTGAGTCTGACTGCCAGACCGCGTACGTCCCCCACCTTCTCCTTCTCGCGGTATTCTCCTGTGCGCCTTTGCTGCCGTTGTCGTCGCACCCCATCCGCGACTAGGCACCAGTGATCTTGTTGAGTGCTCTCGAGCTTCGCCTAGACTTGCCCACGGCAGAAGGCGGAAGAAGCACATACATACTTCGTCCACTTTCGCGCATCGCACCACTCGGATTGGTCATTGATTGCGCGAGCGTATGACACATGTGCTTCTTCAGCCTGCGCTCGGCTTTCGTGTCGCTCGTCAGATGCTTGCAACCAAGTCGCGAATGATGAGCGTACCGGGTCATTTTGCTTGCCTAGCTCCGCTTTTTTCCCACTCCGTGTCAGCCGGCCGCCTGCCATTGCTGTCCACGTTGGGTTGCATCAGACCGCCTTTAGATCGAGCTGATCGCGCTCGCACTTTCCGGCCCCTTTACGTTTGTCTTGGCCCCATCGCTGACATTCTGCCGTCCTGTTCACTTTCCCTGATCCCACCACGCTGTTTGATCGTCTGCGCGCGTGCCTGCTGACAACTCTTATCACGCACGCGGACCTCGTCTTTCACCTCGCTTCCTCGGTCCGCTGCTCGCCTTCGTGACGTTTGCCTTTCGACATGTGTGCTCGTGCACCATCGTCGTCTCTTGCCTGTCCTGGCGTCATTGGTCGCTTCGCTCGACAACGCTTCCATGCGCGCCTGCTTTGCCTTGCTTCGCAATGGTTGCGCGGTGCTCGATCTCCTCTTCCTTAGTCGTAGCGCGCGCGGTCTGATCTCGCGAGGGTACGACAGCGGACAGAACTTAAAACCACACATTCTGCCGAGCTGCAGCTCTGCGCTTGTAGGCCCTTCCGTACCGGACCTGACTGTGAGTACTATTGCATGTCAAAGCAGGTGCCCCGTCCCCGTCTTCGTTCCCGCCTTGCCTCCTGGTCCACACGATCCGTCCATTCGTTGCGGTTTCAAACCCCTTGGCTGCGATTGCGCGTCAGCGCATATTTTGCAATCAAGTGAGACGCCCAAAGCGCAAGAAGCAGTTGCGACTGCTGTTTTGCCTTGCTGGGTGGGCTCCCTTGCAAAGGGCAATTGCAGCTTGTTTACATGAAGTTGATCAGCCACGTGGTCCGAGCTATGATACAAGCGCACCTTGTGCCGGTTCGTTGCCCGGAGCCTCTGCGAATGCTTCCCGGGCATGGGCGGTGGATTGGCATTGAGAGCTGCTCTGAAAGGGCCACCCGCGGTGATACATTGCGTTGCTGCAGCACTCAAGTGTTTGCGTCCTCTGGCAGCGACGGCGGATGGTTTCAGCTGCACTCATCAGCACAGCAGGCGTCCGGGGCCATCTGCGCAGTCCAGACTTGATGTTGGCTGCCAGAGTCAAGAGTCGGGCTCCCCATCCACTTGTGCCATGGTCGGACTCGAGCAGTGCGGGCTTGCCCTGAATGATTCGTCACTGTTTGCAAAAAGCCTCCTCCTCATCGAGAAAGTCGGACTCCTATTGCCAATTTCTCTCGACCACCCCGTCGTGTCCGGCTCGTAAAGCTCTCGTCCATCGCCTGCGGCTCCATCATCGCGTAATGGGTTCTCCAGCGCTACGAGTCTCCTCTGGCCTTGCCCTGGTTCAAGACAGACACTCGCCAGACACTTCTCGCTTTGCCCTCAGAGGTGAAGTTTTAAGGTCCATCTGGCTTGGTGCTACACAGTACTGGTGCCGCACCGTCGCACCGCTCTCATACCACAAGATGGCTATTCGCAACGGACTGGATGGCTTGGACGCCACCGAAATGATACCTCTGCTGACGCACATCTCCCTCACTGGTTGGCGATCTGGGAACAGAGCCGGACCATAACAAGCCATCGCAGGTCTCGCATTTGACCTGTAAAGCTGTTCAGTCAAGTACCTGCTTCACCTCTCGCAACGGCCTCAAAGTCTGCCGCGAGCACATCAACTCGGAGAGCCTCGATCTGATGTGAGTACCAAGCTGCTGAGCGAGCGCGGCACATGTGCCGCAACGGGACGCCGGCGCGCCGACTTGCTTTCGGCGCATCGGCCGATGCCTTTGGGCCACAAGAGCTGTGGCCCAGCAGCGCGCTCGAGCGCGCGCGCCGGGCCATGAGAAGTGTGCATGAAGGAAAGCGCGAGGCGCAGGCGCATCCGCATTTTGAAAAAGGGACGCGTTACACAGACCTCGCGCCCCACAACACACTTTGCCACCATTTCTGCTCCTCAGCGCGAGCATCATCGCGTCGCGACCGACGTGCCTTGCTGACAGAGACGCGCCTCCTTCGCCATTCCCCCACACCCACACACACACACGCACGCACGCACGCACGCACGCACGCACGCGCACTTTCTCTCGAATCGCTCTCCGCCTCCACGCCCAACTTTTGTCTCATTTGGCTCCGGTCATTACTGCACACCTTTTTGGTACTCATTCATCTTCTCGCGCGGCGGTCTCTCCTCCAGTCGATGGAGCCAGTTCCCTCGCCAATCCAAGCCGCTGCTCACGCCCAGCAACGCAGAATGCAGCACGCGTCCAACACTGGCAGCACCGGCTACGGCCATCATCAGTACAACACCGCTGGACAAGATCAGTCGCATCAACAGTACTTCAATCCAGCCATGGTAAGCGTCTTGACGCGTGACTGACGCGTCTCTCGTGAGTATGCGTGCTCACCCTCCCCTCACCACGTCTCGTCGCTTCATGTTCAGATGACTGGCATGGACCAACACTCGCGAAACATGAGCATGGACAGCGCTGGTAGTGGATCGCACTACATGCACCTGCCCCCAATCAGCGGAGGCTACGGTGCTCACGGCGGTAACGCTTCTGGCACAGCCGCAGACAGCTCCCACAACACCACAACTACTAGCCACTCATACGATGGTCAACACAGGTCTCCTCGCTTGGCAGGCCAGGCTTACGGTGGAGCTGGCGGCGCAAATTACCCACAAGGAGCTGGCTATCCTCAAGGGTACGGACAGGCTGGCTACCAAGCGGCTGGATACGGCTACGCCGGACCGCACCAACACCAAATGCAATACGGCGCTCCACAAGGCTATGCCGGCTACCCTTACGCGCACTACCCCCAGCAAGGAGTGCACCCGCACCATGCTGGAACCGTCTCAGGTCAGCATGGTCTGAACACTGCCGCATTGACAGGTCAAGGACAAGCCGGTGTCACCCCTGCCGCTGCTGGCGCTGCTGCTGCTGCAGGTGGTAAAGCTGATGGCGCTGCTGCGACCGGCAAAAAGCCCAGAGGCAAGAAGGCCCAAGCAGCTGCCGCTGCCGCCGCCGCTGCCGCAGCTGCTGCTGCACCTCCCCCGCCAGTCGCCCCAGCCAGTGGCAAAGCTTCTGGAAAGAAGTCCACAAAGGCCGCCAAGCAGGCCGCTCAGCCATATCAGGCTCCCCCGGCTCCCGCTCCTGCGCCCAAAGAGGCCAAGAAGCCCAAGGAGAAGAAGAAGGAAGAGAAGAAACGTGAGTGTCGCGTCTGTCCTACGATCGCCTTTCTGCATAGCTGACTTGAAGTTCTTGTCTCACCGACAGCTCCCAAGCCTCTGAGGTCGAAGCTGAAGCCGCCCAAACAAGCGCCCTCGGCTTGGCAGGTGTACTTTACCGAGGAGCTGCAACGCATGAAGGCAGACAATCCCGGACAGCGCCTCAATGTCGCGCACGTCGCCAAGGATGCGGGTCAGCGATACGCTGCGCTACCAGACTCGAAGAAGAAGGAGTTCCAAGACAAGTCGCACGAGCTCAAAGTGGAGTGGGAGCGTGACATGGAGGTTTGGAAACAGACTCTTACGCCCGAGGATATCAAGCAAGAGAATGCGTACCGAACAGCGCAGAGGAAAGCGGGCAAGAGCCGCAAAGGAAATCTGAAGGATCCGCACGCGCCCAAGAAGCCGCTCAGCGCGTACTTCTTGTTCCTTCGCGCCATCCGTGCCGACCCGCGTCTCATGCAGTCCGTCTTTGAGGGCGAGACTGAGACCACCAAGCAGAGCGTCCTGGCTGCATCCAAGTGGCGCAGCCTGTCCGACACGGAGAAGCAGCCGTACCTGGACAAGGCGGAGGCGGACAAGGCCAATTACGAGCGCGCTCGTAGGGAGTATGACGAGGCGAATGGCATTGCACCATCTGCGCCCAAGAAAGCTCGATCGGGCAAGAAGGAAGAAGCTTCATCTGCAGAGGCCGACGAACAATTGACGGGCATGAACGATGCATCCCCTTTCAACCAGATCGAAGGCTTTGCCGACAGCTTCCCCAACGTCGAGGAGCCGTTCAAGGTCGGCGCATAATCTCAAAACGCGCTCGCACCTCCTCTTTCCCTCTTGCGCTTTGGCTTTCAGCGTCGACTCTTCTTTACGCTGCGCTGACGGAAAATTGGCTCCGCACCTCCACTCTATTGTATCACCTCCATCGTGTGTTTTTGTGGGATACCTCGTTTTCTTGCTTCCGCTGGCCAGACCCTGTTGAGTCGTCCCACGCCTTTCGAATCACGCCTCTTTATGTTCCATGCGACATGCTTTCTGGTCGATGGCGCTTTCCGCGGCCTGAGCAAGAGGGGCAAAGTCGTCCCGTTGCAGTCATCGATTGCAGGCAACAAACCTTTTGGATTGGACCCACGCCTACATCACAGACCTCGCAGTGACTTGTTGGAACGCTCGCCTTTTGATCCGGCCACTCATGACATGCCCCTCCCCCCTCCCTCCTGCCCTTCCTCCACCTCCTCGCGTCGCGTCGCGTCTTTTCACACCGAGCCAGCGAGCCTTGCTCTGTAACAACGTAGCGGAATACGATTTCTTAGGCTTTTTTTTCTCCTCCTTTGAAGCAATGATGCTGTCTTTTTCCCACTTTGTGGTGTGCGGCCAAATGCCAAGATGCAGACTTGGCGTGTTACAAGCTGCTCGTCGCGTTGCAATCTCCGTCCGTGTCTTTTCTTTTGGAGCTTGTGTGGATCGTCGTTGGCTTGCGTAGCGGTGCACGTGTAATGATGGGGGGTTAGGGGGGGGCTTTTTCGGCCGTGCAAAGCAGTCTTGAGTGTGCATTGCATAGAGCCTTTAGCGCGTGAATTTAATGTCCAAAAAGGGCACGCCACGGGATCAAGAATGCATTTACAATTCGCGTGCTTGCCGAATCGGGAGCGGTGCGAGCGGTGCGAGCGAGCAATTGATTCACGAATGAATGAAGATGCTGGACGCGACGTGACGCGAGGCGACGCGACGCTCGGAATGGCGGGCGGAAATTGATGATTGGGAGCTAGCTGCTGCTGCTGCTGCTGCTGC